TCAACTATTCTACCGGACTAAACGACGCGTTAGGATTGAACAGACACCCGCTGCCGGATGGATCGGAAAATGACACGCAACCGTGCCCTGACTGCTAAAAAGAAGAAATACTTGCAGAAGAAGGAAGGATTGACCCTAGTTTTTGCTGTCAAGAAGTTCCACCGCTACATCTATGGACGAAGACTCACTCTGCTGATTGACCACCGCCCTCTACTCCTTATCTTCGGAGCAAGAAAGGAGTACCAGCCTACACTGCCAACAGTTTACAATGATGGTCGATGACGCTACTCTCCGATTTTGGCATCGCTACAATAGAGGCTGATGTCACCGCCACTTACGAGGAAACACAGCAAAAAGAACTCTCCACTTACAACGGATGCATATTCTTAGGTCCAGGATCGTCGTACCAGCCCCACTGAGGAAGAAGATTGTGCGAATGCAACACTATGGGCACCCTGGACAAACCCAAATGAAGCTGCTCGCTAGCAATTAATCTAAGCAATCAAGCAATTAAGCAATCAATCTACTGGCCTGGAATAGAAGAAAACGTTAAGGAGACTGTGGAATGCTGCCAGAACTTCAACTCGCCGCCAAGAATCCCGTGACAGCTGAACTGACTCCATGGATTGCAACTCGCCCGATGGAACGTCTGCATATCGACTTTGCTGGACCGCTCTACGGACACATGTACCTTGTCGTTGTAGATGCGTAATTCCGCTGGCCCGTATAAATGCAAACGACTACGTCAGCAGCCATTACGCAAGAACTTCTAAACATCTCCAACAGATTTGGATTCCCAGAAACGCTCGTTTCGAACAACGGCACACAATTCTCTTCCCAGTTCCTCGAAGATTTTTGCAGAAAGTACAGGATTAAGCACATTCGGACTCCGTCATTCCACCCCCAATCGAATGGACTCGCTGAGCGCTTCGTTGGGATTTTCAAGAGTGGAGTTCTGAAGCTGAAAGGAGAAGGAAGTCTTTCGGAAGCGTTGCCGAAGCTATTGCTGCGTTAC